TAAAAGCCACGCCGATGCATAACTATTGCAAGGCAGCCGGAAGTGATGTCTGCTAGTGGAGGTAGGTAGAGCACCTGGAACCAGAGGCCTGGAGAGGCCCCTCAGTGCACAGGGCCGGGCAGGCCGCGAACCACGCTGCTTCTGCACCTGCTGCAGCCCGGGGATAGAGGATGATGACAATGTCAGGGCTTCCTGGCACTCTGGCCTAGTACCCTGAAGTAGGGATCAGTAAGGAGCTCACAGAGTGGATACATGATCCTGACTGGTTCCTCTCAAAGATGCCCACTTAGCTTTGTAGACTCACTAAAGCCAAAGGGCAGTAATCCCCCATCCTTCCCCTCCAGCCCAGAATTTTTAAGAGTTTCAAATGCCATGTCAATATCCATTAGGTTGCACAAATACCTTTAGGCAGGAATCAGGCAGGTAGTTACACCGATCAAGACACTATGGAATCTTTGGTGCAAAACTTTTGGCATTTGCTGAGAGCTGATGAAAACAAAATCTGAAAACTGTCTCCATTCCTAAGCTGATACAATAGCCGGGTTTGCTTTCTTTAATACAGCTGATCACGAAGAGCAAGGCAGAGTTTGCAGAGTTGCAGAGATGGAATCCAAATATCACAGAAGAACAGAAAGCCACCTTACAGACATAGGAATGCCCTAGAGCCAGAACCAGGGGTTCAAGCCCATGAGCTGACTTTAAATGTAGAACAATGTTATGTTTACTTTTCAGGCCTGGCGCTCCACTGCCCAAATGTGCCCTGGAGATAGTCCCTTCTTGCATGTCCCCAAAGCAGACATTAAAAATGGAAGCCTTTACTTCTAAATGGAAGCAGTGACAGTCAAACATTCCCCAAAGCCAATGGTGGGAAAAGCAGCTCAGAAAGTTCGATTCCCCCAAGGCTGTGAGCCTCCTGCCTCTAAGGGTGCCAATGGGCCCTCTGGGGTAAGACACAGGGTCATCATGTCACCTTTGGTGCGGTCACAAACAAGTGAATGCATCCTGGACTCAGAAGTCCAAGAGTTTAAGGAACAGAAACCTGAACAAGTACAAAGTTGAAATCCTAAACAGGCAGTGGTGTATTCCTGTCCTCACCCCTGGGTTTTCTGGCTCCTCAGCCACTCTTTTGCACCCTTCTCCCCTCCTAATGCATTTGAGATCCTTTTCGTGACGCAGACCTTCGCTGGGGCCTTTCCAGCCTATTGCACCCTCATAGTGCCTGGCACGTGCTAGGTCTCTTTTCCGTATATGTAAAGGTTCCACCAGTGTTGCCCTATAAAGAAAAGTGTCTATGGCGGGAGGCTTGTCTGGGATGTGATACAGTTAGGATCTCGAATGAGGAGATTGTTGTGGATTGTCCAAGCGATCCCTAAATTCCTGTGTATCGTTGTAGGAGAGGAGAGAGAGACCCAGAAGACACTGCCCAGAAGTGGTGTGAAGTTCAGACAGGGCAACGTCACAAAGGCCTGGCCCAGATGATGCCGTCCCAGCCAAGCAGCCACAAAGAGCTGCAAGAGGAGAGGCCTGGGCTTCTCCCTAGGGATTCCAGGGGGGCACAAACCTGCCAAACCTCAATTTTGTCCTATTGATACAGACTTCAGGCTTGGGGCTGTATAGTTGTAGGGAAGCAAGTTTCTACTGGTTTTTTTTTAGCACTGTTTGTGATAGTTTGTTATAGTTGCCAAGGAAACTAACACAGAGATCACTATAATTTTCCCTGCCATTTTCACTTCGCTAACACCCAGAAAAGAGACCTAGAATGTGCCAGGCAGGTGAAGGGTACAATAGGCAGGAAAGGTCCCAGTGAAGGCTCATTCACGAAAAGGATCCCAAATGTGTGAGGAGGGGAGGGAAGGGTGCAAAAGACAGTGGCTGAGGAGGCAGAAAGCCCAGCGGAGGCCACCTCACAAGGTTTTAGGGAGTGCACGTGCCTATTATCCCAGCACTGGGGAGGCTGAGGCAGGAAAATCACTGTGAGTTCGAGGTCAGCCTGGGTTGCAAAGTGAGTTCAAGCCCAGTCTGAACTGTATAGCGAAATCCTGTCTCAAAAAGAGAACAACAACAAAAACCAACCAAACAAAACAGAAGAAGAAGGAGGAGCTTTCCTTCCTTGAGAAGGAAAGGAGAAGGAGAAGAAGAAGGCAGCTTTGCAGGACAGATGATATTTGCTTCAGCCTTGAATGGTCATGGAGGGAAGTGATCCAACCAAAGGATGGGATGAGGGAGGTCACTAGCAACAGTCCATGGTGTGCTGAGGCCTCGGTGGATGGTCAGGGATGGCAAAGGCTGGGACAGAGAGCCAGAAAGACGAGGTGGAGCCAGGCCACAGTGATGCCTGAGGGCCAGGCCCAGGGTCCCTGTCTGTTGAAAGGGAGCCTTCTCCGTGCTGGAGTAATCTGCAAAGACAGTGTGCACAGGCCACCCAAGAAACAGGAATTTGGAAACATGCGGGAAGAGAGTCTCAAAGACATGAGAACACTGGCTTGGGTGCTGAAGGTGCTGCTGAGCTCAGATTCCTACCCCGACTCTGGCTGGGCCCTGGGTGGGGGAGGAGAGACAAAGCAAGGGACCAGCAAGAGGGAACGAGGGGGGAGGAGAGAGGGGGTGCAGAGGAAGAAAGAAAGGAGGCGGAGAGAGAAGGAAGAAGTTGGGGGCTCTCGGGCAGCAGGATCCCCTGCCAAAATTCTTGTTTTCTTCCTTCCACGCTGTGCAGCCTCCCTCTGTGCCAGGGGACAGAGTCCCAAGGGCCTTGTGGTTACTCCTGTCCAGCTGTTGCTAGCAGGCTGGGTTAGGCTGTGCCCTTGTTCAGTCTCGTGATTCCTGCTGCCACTATTAATGGACAAGGAGCAGCCATCCGTTCCCGCTGGGGGTTTGGGCAGCCCACAGCCATTTGTATGTGGAGCCTGGTAATTAAGGTTGGAGAAATCACAGGGCAGGAGGGCAGGCTCTGTTTGAATAAACTCAAGAAAGTTCAGCCGCTTCTCTGAACCTGGCCTCCTGGAGGTCCGCAGCAGGAAGCCGAGGGGGCCTCAGCCTCACCTACTAATGTGCCCTCGGGAAAGAGCCTGGTGCTACTGCTGTCTCCCCTTCCAACATCACCGAGAAGCAAGAGCTGACAGATCCAGAGAGCACGCAGGCAGCGCCGTGCAAAGCATGGATGCCTGCCGGGGGTCAGGTCCCTGCCTGCGAGCTGTGAAGCCTTGAGCAGTTCCCCGACCTCTCTGAGTCTTAGACCTTTTGAGACGTGGGGATTGAGCTCAATCCTGAACTTGTCCATAGAGTTGTTAAAGCGGAGGTTCTAGGGAAAGCACTTTGTATTCCAGGAAAAGCTACATAAATATGAGGGATCATTCGAGCTATACAGTGACATGCACACTAACTCAGTAAGGTTGGGCGTGAGAGGTGGGCTGGCAGCAGTGGTGGCGGTGGTGGTCTGTGACTGAGGAAGGACGCTGTGTGAGCCCTCACCTCGGGTTGCCTGGTGCATAGTATTTCCCTGGATCTGCCATGGGTGCATCCTCGCAGCTGCAGGAAAGGCAGAGGTTTGCAGGTGAGGCTGGCCCACCTCCCCAGCATTGGCAAGGCCCAGGGCGAGAGTACAAGCGCAGGCCATTTCCCATATGCCTCGTATCTAAGAGTCATAAATCAAGCTAACAAACCGTTAAATGAAATATGCTCCATCCGCCTACCTTGTTAAATCCATCTTTGATACAACTTGGAGGATTGGGTCAGAATTTAGAATTCTGGAGCTCCGTGGTGCTCTGTGCCAGGCTGTGCTTGCTGCCTAGGGACAGCCCACCCGGACTATGCCCACCTCAACTTCACTGTCCGCCATGCATATCTACTGCTCACATCTCAGCTCTGTCCACGTCCTCACAAGAGCCAGGCCCTGGCCTGTGGGGTACATACACAGGGGACGTGGGCTATCTGAGGGGGATGCCCCTGGAGAAAAGGCTGGAAGAGGCTCATCCTGACTAGGGTTGGTATCCAGGGTGGGCTGGAAGGAGGATATAAGCATGTCCCCTTGGGCCTGCAGGCTGATCCTGTGAGGGGGACACTCAGCAGAGTCAGGAGTTGCTCCTAGAACAACCTAATTCTACCTGGTTCCTAGTGGTGGCCCTTCTTCCTGCTTCCTGAGTGGCTCAGGAATAGTGTAGCCCCTACTTCTCAGAGATGCCATGAGGCTCCAAAGAGAAAGTGGTGGGCCAAGGGAAAGTGTGCCCAGAGAGCCCACTGCGTGTCAGAGAGGAGCAGGCCTGAGAGTGCCAGGAACTGGGAAACATGGTGTGGTCTCTGCAAGGGACACCAAACAAGAGGCAGCCCTGCCTCGAGAAGGAGGCAGAACAACATCTAACAGAGGCTTGCTCTCCCTTGATTTAAAAAAACAGTCTTTCAAAACAGAATCCTTTGAGTGCTGCTGTGTTAGTGCCCTTAACTCACAGAAAGCCAGTACCAGACGCATTGCCTTGTCCCCACCACGGACCCGGCACAGCAGCCCTCTTTCTAAATGTCTTGGAACTGATACTTCACCACCTGGAGGGAATTGGCTTCCAGTGGTGCTCAGTTCATATCAAGTGACACCTTCCACCCTGTCTGTCTTGAACACAGGCATGAGATGGCTGGGAGGCCCTCAGGGCTTCTGCAGGCTCGAGCTGCAGTTAGGAGGGAGGGGAGGAGGAGGAAAAAAGGGAAAGGGGGGCTGGTGACACCTCTCCTACAAGCTGGCCCTGCATCCCTCTGTGTTCTGATTCCATGTGACCAGCAAGGGGCTGCTTGAGTGACAGCCCGGGACCCCGCTCTGATGTCCTCCTCAGTGCTGTCATCACTGCTGTCCGGTCTCACTGCACACTCCGCTGCAGGACAGAGGCTGAGCAGACCTCCGCCTGATTCATTCAGCCTGCTCCTCAGAAGCCGCGGGGCCCGTGGGCTGTTGGCAGGATGTGCCCCCCAGAACCCCACCCACTGCCCGCTTGGAGATGCCGCTGATAGCGCAGACTCACCGGGCACCATCCCTGTCAGCGTAGGGGCTGAGTAGCTGCCCTGTCCGGCAGGGGGGACGTGCGGAGGGTACCCAGGGAGGGTCGTGCTTGCCAAGTCGCGTCCTAAGGAATAAAAGCAACAAATCACAGGGTGAGTATCTGCAGCCAGCTGCTTGTCCACAGCTCCCCTGACACGGCTGCACATTTGTCACACAGACGCTGACCGCTGACATGGCCCTGCCCGACTGCTTCTACAAGCCCATGCTCACACTCACCACCAGCCCTGCCAGCTCCACTCACTCAGCAGCAAGCCAGGGCTCTGCTCTGAAAACAGGAAGGTAGAGCGGCAAAGGTCCTGGCAAATGCCAGGGCTCTCTACCCACCCAGCTCCACTGCCACCAAGACATCTCTGATAGCACTGCCTTCAAAGACCAAGCTGTTCCCTTGCCCTCTGGACAACCAGCAGAGGGTGGGGCATCCCTGCCTCAGGTCCTCTGCCTCAGTCCTGGCCGCTCTCTGAAACCTTCCTTCCTGGTCCCAGAGCTGCTCTTTGTATAGTGAAGGAGCAGGAGGCACCTTCCTCCCTCTGCTCCCACCTCCCCAGCTTTGGACCAGGCACTCTGGCTCGTGTCCCCACCCGAGGCATTTTACAGGGGAGCAAACGCCCCAGGATTTACCTCTGGGAGCCCCATTCTCCCACGTGAACAGCATGCACTGGAGCTGTTCTGACTTCATGAGAGCCAGGATTAGACAGGAAACTCAAGCTGGCAGAACTGACCCTACTCACAAGGCACATTAAAGAAGCTTGCAGGCCCCTCCTGGGCCTCCCTTCTCATCTTCCGCTAACCCAACACCCACAGTCATTGGTGGCAACTCTTTCTCTCTAAGGATCAAGTCTTTGTATTCCAAGGCCAGAATGCCATAGACCTAAAAGTTTTGCTCAGTGAGTGGAAGAAGCAGCCCTGCTAGAGAAGTAGGAACTTTTAGGAGCCCATAACTGTTCCCTTCATCTGTGCTCAGGAATCAGGGCAAAAAGTGCCAGAGAAGAGCTTGCTGGCCCCAAGCCCTGCTTCCATTTTGCAGATGGAAAAACTGAGACCCGGCATAGAAGACAGGAGCAATTGACTCAGGTCCCACAGGGACAGAGGACAGAGAAGGTGCCTCTCTGTTCAAGTTCCCTAGCATCAGCCAGACCCTCCTCTGGCTTTGGGGACACTATGGTGGTGGTAGAGTACTCATGTTCACAGCCTCCTTCAGAGCAGTTGCAGCTAGAGAGAGTCGGGGGTCCTAATGGCATCTGAGGAAGCAGACTGAGCATAGTCTAAACACTAAGATCTGAGGTCACAGCGGCCAGACTGTGAGACAGGTAGGACAGCCAATGGCAGGGCTGCCCCTTCACCCATGTGAGGGAATCTCCCACCCCGGTCCCAGCCCAGGCTCACATTGCTGATGATGACAACGCGAATTAGGAACATTGACTCAGGAACCATAAGACACCAGACCCTCTCCTGGGTATTTTCAGTGTTAACTCCCTCAAAGCTCCACAGCCCTGTCAGGTGAGGTGCTGATACCATCTTCTCTTTACAACAAAATAAGACTTGTCCACGGCTGCACACTGCCTGCCAGAGATTCAAAGAGGAGTTACCCAGCGTCAAAGCCATGTGCCTTGCCGCTCCACTCTCCTGCCTTGCACATAGAACCGTCCCTGCTCTGGCCACAGGTCCAGAAGCTTCACTGCCTCGCAGCAGGGACACTGTCACTATTATTTGTTGGCTCCCTCTTGCAGAATTTTAGGGGTGAATGAGTTGGGGTAGAGACATCAAAGAGGGAGACACAGTCCTGCCTGGTAAAATATGGAAGGATTACCCTGAGGGAGCTGCCCACACAAGGGCCACACGCCTCCCGGCCTCCCAGGAGAAGACGGCCGGGGAGGGCAGGGGACTTGCCCACGGGAGCTGAGCAGAGCTGGGGCCAGGTCGGGCCTGGCATCCAGTTCTCCTGCTCCTTGGCAACGGTTCTTCTTTTAGCAAGGGCTGCCCTTTGGATTGTATTTGGTCAACAGTTTCCTCTATTGTGACACAGACCTTAAAACCTTGATCCCTCAAGCAAAGGTTCAGAAAATTAGAGCCTTACCAAAGCACAACGTAGAAAGCCAGATAAAAAAAGCAATAAAATGAATCGAGGGAAGAGGAGGAAGGACTTGATAAAGAAAAAGCAAAAAATAAGGAATTAGGAAACAGAAGAGCAGACAGAGAGTAAACACAACCAAGAATTGTTATTTGACAATACCAATAAAATAGATAAACACAGATCAAGATTTTTAGAAGGGGCCCAAATATCAAGATGAAGAATGAGAAGATATAACCAGAAATATAGATGAGACAATATTAAAAAAAAGAAGAAAATATACTCCATACTAATAAATGTGGAAATCTCAACAAAAGGTGCAATTATCTGGAAAACTATGTTATCAAAATTAACTCAAGAGCAAGTAATAAATAAATAAAATAACAGCACAGAGCTAGGCCTGGTGGTGCATGCCTGTAATTCCAGCATTCGAGAGGCTGAGACAGGAGGATTCCACACTTTTGAGGCCAGCCTGGACTACAAAGCAAGTTCTTGGTCGGCCTAGACTACATGATGAGACCTTGTCTCAAAAAACAAAAATAACAGCCTAATAACCTTGGAAGAAAGTGAAAAAATGCCTTTTTAAAAATAAGTATGTCAACCATTTAACTTCTTGGGTAAGGTTTTTTTTTGTTTTTGTTTGGGGCAAATCTTTTCAATCTTTTAAGGGACATATACTGCTGTTATTAAACTTTCCTAGGATATAGAAGTCCAAAAACTTTCCTAGGATATAGAAGTTCAAAAACATCTTCCTAATCCATTTCACCAACTTAGCATAATCCTGATATAAGAACTTTCTATGATGCTGCAAACCCCAATGCACACTCTTGTAAAAATTAAACAAAATGGATCAAAGACTCAAATGTAACCACTAAAACTATAAAATTCTTAGAAGGAAAATAAGGCATAAATATTCATGATTTTGGATTAGGCAATGGTTTCTTAGATATGACAAACGACAAAGAAAAAGGAACTGAACTTCATTAAAAAACTTTTGTGCTTCAAAGGACACCATTTAAAAAGTACAACGATGACCCACAAAATAGGAGAAAATATTTGCAAATCATGCATCTGATAAAGCACTTGTACCTAGAATATATAAAGAAGTCTTACAGCTTAATAATAAAAAGGCTAATGAACCAATTTAAAATGAGCAAAGAATTGGAATAGGTATTTGTCTAAAGAAGAATAAATGAAATGGTCAGCAAGCATGTGAAAAGATGTTCACTGTCATCAGCCAATAGGGAAACACAAGTCAAAACCACAGTGAAACATCACTTCACACTCACTACAACGGTCATGATAAGGAAGAGAGATTGGAAAAGTCTTTGGCAAAGATGAGAAATACTGGGACTCTAACACATTGCCAGTAGGAATATAATATGGTGCGGCCACTCTGGAAAAGTCCAATAGCTTCCCAAAAAGAGGAACTGTAGGATTATCACAGGATCCAGCATTTTTACTCCCATGTGTATCCCAAGAGAAATGAGACCAAATGTCCACACAACACCTGATACTCCAACGTTACAGCGGCTTTCTTTATAACAGTCTAAAAGTGGAGACAGCTGAAATATCCATCATCTTATTAGTAGATAAAGAAAACAGAATATTTGCCAATATCAAGGCATAAAATATCAGCACACACTATGACATGGATGCACTTGAAATGATTATGCTGAGTGAAAAGAGCCAATCACACACAGCAACATATGTAGGAATCTGTTCCTGTAAAGCACCCAGAACGGCAAATCTTCAGAGACAAAAATCTTCGTGGTTGCCAGGAGGTTGGGGTACAGGACAGTAGGAAAGGGGGCTGCTAGTGGGTGTAGGACCCTTTGAGCTGTGTTATGAAGTATTCCAAAGTGTGTGTGGCCGCAGTTGTACAAATTTGTGATTATACTGAAAACCCCTGAATTGTACGTACACTTGAGAAGGATAGATTTTATGGTACATGAATTACATTCCAGTAATTCTGCTCTTTGAAAAATTGTCATCTATTATCACCATCATCTTGAAAAAGAATGGTAATCTGACATCAAGAATACTGGCATGGTATACTGTTAAATACGTTTTTAAGCTACATAAATTTATTTTTATGGGAAAAAGAATTTGATAAAAAAGCAGTTGACACATAACAAACAAAACTGTTTGGCTGATAAAAACAGCACAGAAGCAAGTCAAATGACAAATGATGAACAACAAACTGGGAGAAATTATTTGCAGCATGTATCATAGATAAAGGATTATTATCCCCATGTATCTTGAACTTATAAAAATTGAAGGGAAAAGACCAAAAATAATGTCACAGAAAAATGGGCAAAGTACATTCTGAACATAAACCCTTACTCTTTCCACATATAGACTCCACCAAAAGTGCATACACTCTCCAGGAAAAGGAAAATAGTGTGTTTTCAACAGATGGTATGACCCTCATCTGGGGAACCCTGGAGGATGTCGAACATCACAGAAGCCACTACTCTGCCGATCCCTAGGGAAGAAGCATGTGCAGCAATCTCAGTGACCAAGGTACCAAGCAGCAATTCGCCACACTAATCAATGCCTGGGAGCTAATGGCCACCACTTTGAGCATTAAAGTGCAATTGTAGAGGCCAAAGCTAACTTATTAATCTCATGGTATCTCAATAACTTAATGTTAAAATATGTATACAAGTTTTTCCTCCCCTAAAGTGTATATATATTTTTGGTTCTCTCTCTCTCTCTCTCTCTCTCCTTCCATCTCCCTCCCTCTTCATATGTATGATATCCTTAAATTATTTGGAAAGATATTTAATTTCATTATATACTAGAAGTGCAAATTAACATGGGAAATTTGGCAATATCTAATAAAACTACATGCATTTACCCCGTGAATCAGCAATCCTGTTTATAGAGACTTATACCTGAAGATGCATACACCTCAAACAATATCAAATATAAATATACAAGGTTTTTCACTGCAGCTGCACGATCTATAACCACAAAATATCAGGAATTAT